ACCCCCTCCGTTAGTCGGTAGTCCAGGGCACTGTGTGTCAGAGTGGATCGCAACGTGATTTTGCGAACCCCACTCCACCACAATACGTACAACACGCTGTCATTCTGAACGAGCTCGGTGAAACCTTGTTGTCAGCTATCGAGGAATTCAAAAGAAACAACCCCGCATGGACCAAGTTGGAGTGCGTTATAATTGATAAGAACTTCACTGAATTTGGCGTTATAAAGGCAACTTTTCCAAGTGTGCGCATTCTATTCTGCCAGTTCCACGTTGTCAAGAAATTACGGGAAAAGGTCGCGTGCTCAGACTACTGTTTCTCTTCGTTTTAAAAGACCCAACCGATCGGTTGTCAACTTGCTGGTTTATGCTAAGACAGAGCGTGAATACGAGAAGCATCGCCGCTACATGAAACATCTCGTTTGTATGGGGTTGCAACAAATTGTGAACAATGAACACGACAATGATGAATTGGGATCTGGTATTGTGTCTGTGTCGATCGGTGTCACAACCGATATAGTCGGTGGTACTATTGGTGCTTCCGGTGGTACCACGTCAACGGCATCACCACACGCGTTTGAGGAATATTCTGTGAAGAATTGGGACAAATGCAGACATTTGTGCTGTTCTTACACGAGGCAAAACGCAGTTACGTAGGGGATCAATACCAACAACAGACTCGAGTCATCTTGAAAGCACATGAAAGAGATTGTCAATTCGTCGATGGCACTGGACGAATGTTTGGCGTCTATTATCTGTTACCAGACACGAGCTGAACAACTACTCTACGGTCGCGCTTGTAAAGTTTCTATGGTTCACCACGAGGGCTACGATCGGGAGATGAATCTCTTAGCTAACTTGGTGAGTAAGCGCGTATGCTCGCTCATTCACGAGCAGTACATGTACGCAATCGGTTCAGCGTTATACACGTTTTACGAAACAACTCCTGGGGTTATTTCGATTAAAAACGATGCAGAAAATGAGGATAGTCTGGATGAACTGCGCGTGCAGTACACAATCAACTGTTCGACCTGGGAGTGCTCTTGCTTATTCATGACTACAAGACTGCTACCATACCGCCACATTTTTTTTTATGTTCGACGGCAGCTCAAGAGGGAGATTATCATTCCTACCCAATTGCTGCATCCACGATGGCTGTTGTCTTCTACGAAGGACACACACTCACAGCCTATTGTGGCTCGATTTTTAAGTATTGTGACCACTATTTTACCACCACCAAGGTCTCCATGGGACGTCAATCCGAATTTCGAGAGGCAAGTTGCCTTACCTCCGCTATCAGCGAATCTGTGAGCTTGTTGGAAATGAACGAGTATGGAATTGCATGAAAGCATTTAATCAAGTCTCTGTTATTTTTCGAGAAAGGTAGTTTGAGATTTTTGAGGAGCTTTCGTCTACACTACCAGCTACGCAGCCAAAGAGGGTTGAACTCCACAAGGAGGAGGTGACACAGTGCTCGACAGAGTCCTGCAACACCGCAGCAACGATCGTGATGACAGTATCCCCTCCGTCAGCGGAACTGTCGGTAGATACGGTAGACCAGTCGGTGATGTAGGGCGAAAAATCTGTGGAGAAGTCTGTGCATTCTGTGGAGAAATATCTAGCACCACCCAATGAGCAGCTCGACACTGAACCAATGGATTCTGCAGCGCCTGGCTTTGAAATCGCTAGTCCCATACGAGCACGTGGTCGTCCGAGCCAGAAGCCAAAGTCAAAGAAAGCAAAAATGAACACGGCGGTAAGGATGGCGAAGGCGGACTTTATTTTCCACGACAAACAACTGAGCCTACAATCAATTACAGATCTCGTGTGGCATGAGGCAACATACGCAAAAAAAGCTGAACAACTGAGACAATTTCAACTTTCGTGTTCGAGAAAAAGATGAAGGCCTGATTGCTCATATACTCGCTAAGCTGCCTACAAACAAATCCCCATTGATGCCAACACACATCTTCCGTATTTTGCCGAAAGATTTGATGCAACGAGCCAACAAGAAGATGATGACCTTGCAAAACAAGAACAGGTATCTTGTAACGGGGTTATACGGGTGTGGTGCACACATGGGTTCGGAGTACCCGAAGAGTTAACAGACTTTCAGTACATGACTCGTAGAGTTAACAGTGGCCTCAGTACATAGG